CCCCGCTACTACTTACTGACCACTACTCCACGCTACTACTTACTTACCACTACTCCCCGCTACTACTTACTGACTACTATTCCCCACTACTACTTACAGACCACTACTCCCCGCTACTACTTACTGACCACTACTCCCCGCTACTACCTACTGACTACTACTCCCCGCTACTAGTTACTGACCACTACTCCCCACTACTACTTACAGACCACTACTCCCCGCTACTACTTACTGACTACTACTGCTAAATGTGGGTACAGTACAGTACTGACGAGACTTTACATCACAAATCTAACAAAAAAAATCCTAACACAAAATACATTCGATAAAATGTTTATTGTTTGCAATAACTTCATAAACCATGTAATTAACACTATTATAACTTACCAGACCCTTTTTTAACAAATGAGAACATTATTATAATCAATTATAAAAATCAACTATTCACAAATATCGCATATTGTAGGGTCCTACGCCATTACAAAATGGAATATTTCTTTGTTTCTCTACTGAAAAATTAATGCTTCAAGTTTTGAGAACTTAAGGGTTTCTTGGGCTTCTAGGTTTAAAAACGTTTGATTACTAGATGGTTGTTTCATAGAAAACTTCGATGTCACTCGGTTTAAAGTGAGTGTTGCCTGTGTAGAACGAGCAGTAACTACTGTACCTGCAGCCAGGCGGGACTTTGTATGAGTACACTCGAAAATGACTGTAAGCGTTACTCGATGCATGGTTAGATATGTACATGTCAAGTAAACCGAATACAGGGCCAAAACTTCTAACTCTATATATAGCAGTCTGTTGATGTCTAACAAGAGGTAACTTGATAGGTTTGAAGCCACGTGTATTGTACAGTGAGAACAGGAAAGCTTTGCTGGAGTACGCGTAGGTGTTTGAACCTGTAAGTAAATCAATAAATTACTTTCCCTTCTATCAGATACTTCATGAAGGAAACCTCTCACGTGCATGCGTTAGATTGCGAGGTTACCAACACTGACGTCCTGCCGTAATGTCCTTTTGAGATGTCAGACAAAAATTAATCGCTTACAATATCAATAAATTTGTGAAAAATGAGTTCGAAGATTGAAATAATGCATGTAATGTTTAAAGGCCGACAATGAGGACTTGACGGGGTTTCAAAGTCCGCGCAATTAGTTCCAGTCCGAGGCGCTAGCCTCGGACTGGAACTAATTGCGCGGACTTTGAAATCCCGTCAAGTCCGAATTGGAGGCTTTTGAACGACTTCAAAAACTCATTAATTATTCGGGAGGGAAAAAAAGCGAAGGAAATACATATAACAGAAATATATTGATTTATTGCATCTCCACTAAGGTTTTCAGTTTTCATATGATTTTGAATGCATGAAGCACCGTTTGTTGTTCTTCAATTCCCGGACGGCTTTCTGAAACAAAAGCTATTCAAATTGTCTTTGTCTGCTATTCATGGAATTCCTAATGAGTCTAATCCATAAGATTTATAAGTATGTTATCTTCCGAGAATTCGCATCAGAAACTCGGTGGCGTAATGGTATAAGACGGCGCATATAGACTGGACGGTAGGGGATCGAGTCGTGAGGGAGTCATGTATCAAAGACCTTTTTTCACTAATTTAATGTTAAACTGATTATTTCTAATAATTTGATTATCATTAGCTAGTAGTAGTTGGAAACATGGTAGAAGTAACTGGAAATAAGGTAGAAGTAACTGGAAATAATGTAGAAGTAACTTGAAAAAGGTAGAAGTAACTAGAAATAAGGTAGAATACAAGGTACGAGTACTTCCTCTGGTTTCAAGTTACTTCACGTGGTACAAATTACAAACAGGGATTGGCTGAATACCTCATGAATAATTAATGAATTTTTGAAAATTTATTCTTGGATAAATAACAATTTTGACAACGAGCCAATCGTCTTTTGTTTTTATATTCGTTCACTATGAGCAAAACACAATTGCAATCAAATTGAGGAAAAATAACAATCAAATCCCCCCAAAAAAACAACCAAACAAACAAACAAAAGAAAAAACAAAATGATAACAAAGTAACAGAAATCAATAGAACTTATAATTTTGGTAAAAGGTTTGCTTTCCTATGTTTGACTGAAATTGCGCTTATAATTAATGAAATTGCGTCCAATTTCTACACGGTCACATTTTATGTAACATGTACATTTATCTTTTGAGTCAAATTATGAGGAATTGTATCAGTTTTTCTCAGGTCACGTGATATGTGACATCACATCCTGTGTGTATACGGTGTAAGGTAATACAACTCACTCTAAACCGGCTAGAAGGGAATTTTTTTAGTAAATAGATTCATGTGAATTTTAAAAATTCATAACTCAATCGTCAGCTAAAACTATAATTCCGATGTTAATAGTTTGACAAAGTTCACGGCATTGGAAATACACTGCCCAAGGGATAATTTACAGAATAGAAATTACTATCCCATGATGCACAGCAATACATCGCTGTTGTTTTGATTGCTGGTCAGTAGCTGAGTGTTTATACAGAGACACAGTGATATAAACTTTTAAAAATACTTACTGTCCCATGATGCATCAGAATAGCCACCAAAGATGTAACTACCAACACGAACAATGGTAACTGTCGGTCCTTTGTTGTCACACTGGGGGTGGAATGTTGAATACACATCCCATCCATCGCTAACAGCTCTCCAACATCTTATCCAACGACTTCTACTTGAATCTTGAAGAACGGGTCTCATAAAACTGGACAGACTCTGCAGATAAGTGTTGTTGCCATAGTCACGCAGAATATTGGAATTCAATTGAAGCTCAACTAAATAAAGAAATTAAACAATGTTATGTTCAAACGTAAATGATCTCTATGGTAATTAGAAATAGAATTATAATTTGGATGTACTTTACAACATTTTTATGTTACATGCAGAGATGTTTCAATAAGATTAGAATCATTTTATCACAACACAAACAAAGCACTATGTATCCGCTTCACTTAATTTTTAGGCACATGCGCTCATTAGATGACTGTTTGATTGACAAATGTAGAATGATACTATATGTGAACTGCTCATGCGTGCACTTGAGATGTTTCGATAAGATTAGAATGGCTACCACATTTGTAAGCAAATCAAGATATTCTAGTATAAAAGAAATCCGTGACAAGGTATGAAACACCGGTCACAAGATGGATCGATGTGTGCACCAGGTAGCTGTGACACTTTTTCGGAAAACGAAGATTCGASGSRTAGGCGAACTTTCACCGAAGGTAGGACGGAAAAAAATGGCGTGTCATAATTTTTCGTCACAAAGTACGCAGCCTTGAAAGATATACTTTCGCGTTTTTAACACGAATTGTTTTCTAAACAAGTCCAATATTTCACAGAAAAAAACGAACTTATTGCCAACGAGCCAGCCGAGCGAAGACGCGAGGCTGGCGAGGYRGCAGCATCATAGAGCCGATGCACGAAAAGGTTATGGAGAACGAAGCTCGATTCGAATGTAATGTAATGTAATGTAATTTAACAATGGAATTACGAGTCAACCAATTGGAGAACACTATAGAACTCCGATCTAAACCAATCGGAAGCCACGATAGTATCATGGTCGCTTGCGAGTCGTCGAAGTACGTCATAGCTAAAGGAAGAAACTGTTGAAGTTAAAGTACTGAAAAGACCATAAACGGTGAGTAAATTAGGTCTCTGTTCCTTCATTTGGTTGTATTGACCTGTGCACACTTCCTAAGAGTGTTTTTAGTCAATCCTCGAACCAGCGTGTTCAATAAACTTGAGTACCAAAACGAACCAACGCGGTCACGAATAAGCCAGCGTGTCACTGCACGATTTGACAAACTGTCAGTTTTAAAACAAACAAAACTACCTAACAAGAGCACAGAGTACATTTCATTGAATTCTCACATTGAGTTAAAGTACTCATTTATTGGTCAGTGCCATTTATGATTTACGGCACAACGAACAATTGCTTTCAGAGAATAGCTATCCGAGATATCCTTAGATNAAAGTTTTAGACTTTCGAGTTTTTTTAACTTCCAAGTGAAGGTGAGATATGTAGCTGCTCGCTATAAATTCAAAAGCAAATATTTTCTCTAAAAACGATCTTTTCTCTAGATGAATTGCAAGTCCCCTGTCTACAAATTCGAGAGGCTGCAGCTACACATTCTGCTTAGCTTACATTCTGTGAGAATTCTGATACACGACGGAGATCAGTGACCCGTAACATTTTACATTTGATTCTGACAACTTATCCTTCGTCGAGTGTCTGATTGAAAACCGGTTTTGATTTTCAACCAATAATATCGCTCTGATATCAACGGACCAATCAGCTGCAACATTCAGATCTTGAATGTAAACACTGACATGGAAGTGAGATTTGCTATCCGTGCCGCCAGAGGCTGGTTTACGGTTCGGCCTTCGGCCTCAAGGACGGCGCTTCGCGCCGTATATAAACTAAAAGAACGAGTAAATCCAGCCTCTGGTTCCCAGGGTAGCAAAACACCATCTGCTCGTTGGCATTTAGCGGTAGCTATGACTAGTATATATATATATATTCCCAAGAATTAGGAAATTGTCCTTCCGTAGCATTATGAGTTAAAATGAGAGTTGAGGGCCATTCACTGCAGTCGAAAGTCAAATAAGTTTTAACAATCTTTCGCCAGACGCCGGCATCACAAGGTCATGCATGAAAATCTCAAACAACAGTAAAACTAGTAGAATTAGCATTTTGAATTGAAAGTCCAAGTTACTCGGCCCGTTTACAAATTTTACTAGTTTTACTGTTGTTTGAGATTTTCGTGATCTGATGATACCGGACCGGCGAAAGCTTGTCAAAATTTAATTGACTTTCGACAGTTGTGTACGGTCCGCAACTCTCATTTTATACACTGTTTACTTACAAGAAAGATTGGGAAGCAAAGTAGGAGAACAATAAAGTTTTCGAGGAATTGGTTCTCCCGAAAGCTTGTAGCTAGACGTTAATGACTATAACGACTATAAATTTTTACTCTTTTTACAGACTTGTTTTACGGAAAATGGAGACAGCACGCAAGCAATCCGTAACGCGTTGGGGTCACCAAAGCCGACCATTCGTCGACAGCTACAAAACTACTTTCGTTTCACTTTCGTACTTTGCGACAGCTCTCGAAGCCTTTGCGAATGTTTAAACCCGAGCGTTCTCCGAAAAAGTGTCCCAGCTACCTGGTGCACACATCGGTCCATGGCGATCCAAATGCTTCATTATCATTTTCTTGAAACCCAAACACTCAAACTCATGAAGTAGTTACAAAATCATAGTGCACATCATTTTTGTAGATAAAATTGTCGTTTACCATTATCTTTGGAGAAATAGGAGCAAAATTAGATTTGTCACGTGACCGGTGTTTCATACCTTCTGGGTGATTGATTTGCGACCAGGCCTGCATATGAATTCGCCAAGGTTGTAAGCCAGTGAGCCCGTGCATTTTTGTTAAGCGGTCATGTTTGAAAATCTAAATAAAGTAAAGGGAAAACCCGCAGCTCTCTTTCACTCAGATAAACAGTACAAGTCGTGTTAAATTTATTTACATATCTATACAAAATGATTATAGAATTAAACCTTTAAGAATTGAATGCTCATTAGTCATATGAAACATTTTCCACCTTAAATACACACGTGTTATTCAGATGGGAATTTAGAACTTTTTCCACGATGGAATTTTGTTTTGAGTCGTTTCGACATAAACAGTCGCTATCAAACATTACACGAAAAACCGCAGTCACCGTTCTAGCTCTCGCTGTAAGGTCAAAGCTAGTAAATGTGTAACCGACCTGTTAAATAACGTCAACTCGTTGTGTCGAGCATGCTTGCGGGTTATTGCCGAAAATGCGACAAAGGATGAACTACGACAGTTGTTTGTATGAAACATAACAAACGCTTTAACTCTATATTTGGAATACATGGAGCTAAGCTGCTCTAGCTCTTTCAGTGATGTTGTAGATACCTCAAAGCTTTGAGGAAACAAGAGTAAGAAAAAGGTTGCAATGGTTCCTCCATAAGATACTTTGGACTTGAACGTCGCTTCAACGACCTTCTGAAGTCTTCGTGAAGTCGGCCATTGCTTCGCATGAAATGGAGAACCCGCGTAGAACACAGACTAATTATTTTTAGCAGGGAGGGGAGTCCCTTGGTATTAAAGAAAAAATTCTTTGCTATTTCATTTTTAAGATAAAATTCTATTTCTATAACGATAAATATTTGATTGACATTTAATAAAAGCTATTTTATAAAGATTTTCAATTTGTCTTTGCGTTTAGCTTTGATTTTTCGGATAGAATAAAATGGCAGGCAGCCTACTCCACTGGGTCGAGTTTTGYTGTGCAAATTCCTCCCGTCGGGGGGTTATGTTTACAACATAAGCTTGTCAGCTTTGCGCTGATTGGCTAGTCGCATTTTCTCAAATCACCCAGTTGTCACAGACTAGTGTAGAGCCGCGGTGAACGGGACCGTGACGTAATAACACAGGTAATCCGCATTTTTCTAAGAGCGCGCGCAGATAACATTACAGTCGGCGCATTCGTTTTCTCTCTCTCTCAAGCAATGGTTGGGCGGCCTATGACGCGACATAATAAAAAGATAGATAACATAGATTAAAACATAGATTTTAACGATTTATAATTCATTTTAATAAATTGCCTACAATGCAATAGAGAATGCTGCAATATCATCTGTTTATTATTGAAATGACTTGAAAATGATATTTTTGCTTTTTTTTATTGACCCCTGTTCTATATGATGTCACAATGACGTCATATATATCAGGTAATTTTTATAAATCATATATCTATATCTAGATAACCAGTTAAATATCATATTTAAGCGTTACTGCTCTCCTGTGATGTTGTGATTCGTTTTGTATCCATGGGAACAGGTGTAACGTCATAATTGTGATGGCGTCATTTCCTATAGTGTCTTTATCGTCTTTGCATAATTTGACTCCAAATCTCACTTTTTCTCTACATCGGTATTTTATGGTAAACTTTACAATTTGAAGAGTTTTTGAAGTTAAATAATTTACAACAAGCAATTTTGAGAAGAATATCCGCCATCTTAGAGTCCGCCATCTTGGACCGCCATCTTGAATTTTTTTAAATCCTAATAAAAAAACTAAGCATTTAGACAAACAGCTCAAAATGTCTGAAATACTTCTCAAACTAACATTTAATGAATAAAAAAGTGAGTTTCGAAGTGTTATTGATCACTTTAATTAAATTTTCTCCCATATAAAAAAATGACTGAAAACTACCCACCCCTCACCCCAAAGTTTTTGTTGTCAAAAAAGTATTATGGTATTGTAGAGTCAGCAATGGGAGCAAGCTCAAATACGTAAAAGATGCATAGTAAAATAAGAATAAGCTTTTTAAGCATATTTTATATTTTTGAAAACCTTTGTTAAAAACTGGCTGCCAACAAAAAAGTTACATCACAATCTACCCAGATAAATTTTAGGAAAATTCCGAAAGTTTCAGAGCTGTAGCTGTCTTGGTTCGAAAGCTATTGGCATTTTACTCAGGGGGGGGGGGGGGGGGGTAATAGGGAATAGTCTGAATTGGATTAATTCACTTTTTATCCCGGTGGCGAATTGTGTCATATTACCTAGTAAATGTCGTCATATCAGACTCATAATTACTAGATGACCAGATGTTTTATAATTTCATAATACAATGCGCAAAAAGAATTTCATTTACTCGGTCAAATCAATGGTAAGCATTTAGAGTAGGTTGCTTATATTGTATTGAGACGGTTTCTTCGCTGAGACTTTTCAAGGGCAATAGAGAATCAGACTGTCATGTTTACTTCCTTGTGCATGTTCGGAACGATGCGTGCAGTGGCAAAATAAGATTTTAAATGTTGTTTACCCCCCCCCCCCCCCTGACATTGATTTGCGCACAAAGTGCACCCCAAATTTGTTCTCGTCGTCCAAAATTACATAAGAATGGGCCCTTTTCAGCTGCATAAGTAGTGTTATTACAAAAAATGATATAAAAATTTGGTAAAACCTAGGATAGACTACAGCTGTCGCTTGAAGATATGAATTTTATCTTCAAGTTTTGAATTTATATATCCCACGAGTTAGGACAATATTTCCATGCACCCATGTAATATCCTTTATTTAATCACACAGGAATTATAAATAATAATAAATGCATTTTGGTAGTTGATATTTTTCAATGATACAGTGATCCAAAAAAATGATATATTTATGTAAACAAAGGAATCATAATGTTCATAATGATTATCCATTTTTCAACACTTATCTTTGCTCTCTATATTTGTTGACACTTTGTATTAAAGAGTCTATTGAAGAATAAAGAGTAAAAATCTGAACATTCAAATAATATCAAGGCTCTCTTTTCAAAATGCATAGTTTTATAAATTAAAACATCCGAGTAGTTTTATGTCAAAGAAGATTATTATTGTAGATAGAATGTACGTGTACACAATTCACACATATTTTCATTGTCAACAAGCTCATTTAACTGAGAAGTTTTGAAGTGTATCAGATGAAGATTTTCAAATTCAAAAGCAAATTTAAACCAGATTAAAACTGCCAAAGGTTCTTGAAGTAGAAGAATTGATATAATTTGAGCACCAAAAACCGCTTGCACATATAAGCTTAATCTAACATACCGTCATTTGTTTAATAACGCCACGGTATCGTCGGAGAGAATATGTCAGTTCTCCTCTGAGAAATTATCCATCAATAATCGTTGTCTTTGGCGTTCACTTGTTTCTCGATTTGCTTGAGTCTTAATAAACTTTATTGTTTCGTCTCTCACGTTTTCCCTTTCAAGCCTGCGTTGTTCTTCACTTAGACTTCTTCGACGCTCTCTTTCTCTTCTTCTTGTCTTTTCTTCTTCAGATAAAGATCGCTTTCCGTTAGCTACCCGTTGATTTTCCGACATTTGGCGCAGAAGTAAAGTATTTGAAAGGACAATCAAGCTGCCAATGGCAACATAACTCGGAGATTGTAAGAGCTGCTTTTGCAAGATGGTCAGCTGTATTTTGAGCATTTTATTAGCACATTAGATAAGTTTATTTACAAAAACATGTAAATAGGTGATCATAAAAAATCAGAACAATAAGATCAGAATAATATTGGGAAAAATGCAATTCAACATTTAAGTTGGATTAAAAAAGGAGTATTAACTAACAAGATAAGTTATTAGTGAAAAATTTGAGTAGCTAATGCCTTCATGTATTGAAAGAACAAGTGAATTGGTATATCATAACTTTGTTTTGAGCTCCTTTGTTGAAGTATGAAATCCACATTGTTCTTTTGATTATTCTTTATGCTCTTGATTTGCAGTTTTGCARAATTATTCCAGTGCTTTTCTTCCAATCACTGTTAAGCGGATTAAGGTTTATTGATAAAAATATAAGCTTATTAGTTCAGAGAGACATCGAAATTTATAAAAGGAAAAGCTTCAGCTTTAGTTACATGTAAATTAACAACGGCGACATAAAGTTCGAAGTAGCCTGCGTAGCGGCCCTAAGGGGATTGGGGAGGGCCGGCCGAGCGGGGAGTGGGGAGGAAATAGTAAAACATATCACATGCACATGATTGACACTTTTAATGCACTTACTATTGGCGCATTCAGTTGAGATGCACTCACCGTGTGTGTTTTGTATGGTTTTGCACGAACCGTTAGTGCTACGAAATGATTACGTCAAATATATTCACTGAAGATAAGTGCAAAGTTATATATAACTCTTATCAAAAGTGTAAAAGCTGATAGTGCACTTATCGTTAAAGTTTTCAAGCCGCAGGTCGGATTGAAATCAGCAATTGTTATATAACATCTACACTCGATAACATGTCTAAATTGCGTCAACCAGATTACATCCCTTGAGTCCAAGAGAATCTATTTCCAAGATCTGGTCATTTATAATACTAACTAACGGAGAAATAACTAAAACAAGAGGAGAGATCTCTTGGAAGCGAAGCTCGAAGCGAGACAACAGAACCAGCACTTGAAAGATTAAACTTTTTCCGAAGCCAGTCGGCAAGATCGCCACCAAGTCTTTCTTTTTTACGTACAGTTGTTCTAAAGCTTGTCGCTGTTCTTCTTTAGTGAAATATTGAAGCCTTTTTCTTTTAAATCGCTTAAAGCACGCTCTAACTGATAACAAAACCCTTCTTTATCGCCCGCCAACTTGATCTGGTATCTATCACTTTGACATTTGATTGACAGCTTGCTGCTCTCGACCAATAGGGAATTTACGGCCAAATCGAACTGTAGATTTCGTAAAACCGTGGGGTCCGCTTGATGGCCCTTCCTATTTTCCTCCCCACTCCCCGCTCGGCCGGCCCTCCCCAATCCCGCTACGCAGGCTAAGTTCGAAGTGTCTGTCTCAACTTACATGCCCGGCTGCCGTGTAAATAGTGGAAGTCAAAATGTCCGTTTGCAAAAAAAAATACAGAATTACTGAACAAAAGTCCTTGGTTAGCTAGCTCTAGCTTAGGTTTAGGGTAAGGTTTGGGTTGGGTTTAGCGATGAAATTAATGATTTAGTCTCGGTACGTAAGCTAATTATTTGAAAACAATGAATACTCACGGGCAGGTTGACACTGCCTAAAACGTTTGATTTGTAATTCATATGATAAACTTAAGATTTAAGTATCTCATTGCTAAGCTTTGTACATTATTATCTTACCTTGAAGTCTAAAGCGGAATAGAAACCGTCCATTTGCTTGAAGTTTATTCATAAGGCCGTGAAAGCTACTTTTAGCAGAGACGCCATGTTGACACGTACTCGAAGCGAAAACCCAGTCAAAACTTATTGCAATCGGTACAATTTTACGTCAAACAACATAATTTTTACAATTTTTTCTCCTCTTGAATCCAGGTTTTTAAGATAGTGCGATTGGTCAGTTGTTTTCGGCAAATATCGATTGAATCCACAGCATATACCATCATGGTGAGCCTTATTTTATTTACCGATCGCAAAAATTAAAGGAATTTCTTAAAAACAAAACTTTAGAGGGTTGTCCAATACTCCGACATGACACGGGTTGACAAATGTATTTGACGGGTTGACCATGTCGCTATGCAAAGTCATTAGCATATGTATGATCTGCCGAAATTAATAATATATTCTGCATTCTTCACGGGTTAAGGTCCCCATGGGACATAGAATGAACAACCATTGGTCAAGCGTAGTATATATAATACCAAAACAAGAGAAAGTGTCACTTGCACAAAAAGCTCGGACGGAAAGCTTAGGTTCAGGGTTTTTCGAAGCACAAACCAACCGACTTTAAGAATTATCAACCTACTTGGAGAAGTATGGGGGATCAGGTTCCTGTAGCTCCGGCGGACGGCCAACTGCAAGCAGCCATTAACCCTCCACAACCGCCAGAGAACGCCGGGGGAGCACAAGGTCCAGCAGAAGTAAGCAAAATACGTTTGTCTTGTAAAATTTATATCGGGTAAAGCGAGCGAGCTTTCGACAGCACGTGGCTGTCGCCATGAGCTAAATGTCCTTAGAGTTAAATTGAATGTAATGCTGAGTATATTCTGAGTTTATGAGATGCATTTACGAAGTTGGGAAACGAGTATTGAGAATATTATGAGTCTATGAGATGCATTTACGAGCTTAGGGATGAGTATTGAGAATATTTTGAGTTTTTGAGATGCATTTATGAACTGGGAGATGAGTATTGAGAACAGTTGGAGTTTATGAGATGCGTTTGCGAGGTTAGAAATGTGTATTGAGGATATTGTGAGTTTACGAGATGCATTTACGAAGTTAAGTGGAGTATTGAGAATTATATTATGAGGTTATGAGATGGCATTTACGGAGTAAGAATTGAGTATTGAGAATATTGTGAGTGAAGGAGAGGTAGTTACGAAGTTTAGAAGTAAATGTTNCAATTCAACATTTAAATTGGATTAAAAAAATAGTATTAACTAACAAGATAAGTTATTAGTGAAAAATTTGAGTAGCTAATGCCTTCATGTATTGAAAGAACAAGTGAATTGGTATATCATAACTTTGTTTTGAGCTCCTTTGTTGAAGTATGAAATCCACATTGTTCTTTTGATTATTCTTTATGCTCTTGATTTGCAGTTTTGCAAAATTATTCCAGTGCTTTTCTTCCAATCACTGTTAAGCGGATTTTAAAAGGTTTATTGATAAAAATATTAGCTTATTAGTTCAGAGAGACATCGAAATTTATAAAAGGAAAAGCTTCAGCTTTAGTTACATGTAAATTAACAACGGCGACATAAAGTTCGAAGTAGCCTGCGTAGCGGCCCTAAGGGGATTGGGGAGGGCCGGCCGAGCGGGGAGTGGGGAGGAAATAGTAAAACATATCACATGCACATGATTGACACTTTTAATGCACTTACTATTGGCGCATTCAGTTGAGATGCACTCACCGTGTGTGTTTTGTATGGTTTTGCACGAACCGTTAGTGCTACGAAATGATTACGTCAAATATATTCACTGAAGATAAGTGCAAAGTTATATATAACTCTTATCAAAAGTGTAAAAGCTGATAGTGCACTTATCGTTAAAGTTTTCAAGCCGCAGGTCGGATTGAAATCAGCAATTGTTATATAACATCTACACTCGATAACATGTCTAAATTGCGTCAACCAGATTACATCCCTTGAGTCCAAGAGAATCTATTTCCAAGATCTGGTCATTTATAATACTAACTAACGGAGAAATAACTAAAACAAGAGGAGAGATCTCTTGGAAGCGAAGCTCGAAGCGAGACAACAGAACCAGCACTTGAAAGATTAAACTTTTTCCGAAGCCAGTCGGCAAGATCGCCACCAAGTCTTTCTTTTTTACGTACAGTTGTTCTAAAGCTTGTCGCTGTTCTTCTTTAGTGAAATATTGAAGCCTTTTTCTTTTAAATCGCTTAAAGCACGCTCTAACTGATAACAAAACCCTTCTTTATCGCCCGCCAACTTGATCTGGTATCTATCACTTTGACATTTGATTGACAGCTTGCTGCTCTCGACCAATAGGGAATTTACGGCCAAATCGAACTGTAGATTTCGTAAAACCGTGGGGTCCGCTTGATGGCCCTTCCTATTTTCCTCCCCACTCCCCGCTCGGCCGGCCCTCCCCAATCCCGCTACGCAGGCTAAGTTCGAAGTGTCTGTCTCAACTTACATGCCCGGCTGCCGTGTAAATAGTGGAAGTCAAAATGTCCGTTTGCAAAAAAAAATACAGAATTACTGAACAAAAGTCCTTGGTTAGCTAGCTCTAGCTTAGGTTTAGGGTAAGGTTTGGGTTGGGTTTAGCGATGAAATTAATGATTTAGTCTCGGTACGTAAGCTAATTATTTGAAAACAATGAATACTCACGGGCAGGTTGACACTGCCTAAAACGTTTGATTTGTAATTCATATGATAAACTTAAGATTTAAGTATCTCATTGCTAAGCTTTGTACATTATTATCTTACCTTGAAGTCTAAAGCGGAATAGAAACCGTCCATTTGCTTGAAGTTTATTCATAAGGCCGTGAAAGCTACTTTTAGCAGAGACGCCATGTTGACACGTACTCGAAGCGAAAACCCAGTCAAAACTTATTGCAATCGGTACAATTTTACGTCAAACAACATAATTTTTACAATTTTTTCTCCTCTTGAATCCAGGTTTTTAAGATAGTGCGATTGGTCAGTTGTTTTCGGCAAATATCGATTGAATCCACAGCATATACCATCATGGTGAGCCTTATTTTATTTACCGATCGCAAAAATTAAAGGAATTTCTTAAAAACAAAACTTTAGAGGGTTGTCCAATACTCCGACATGACACGGGTTGACAAATGTATTTGACGGGTTGACCATGTCGCTATGCAAAGTCATTAGCATATGTATGATCTGCCGAAATTAATAATATATTCTGCATTCTTCACGGGTTAAGGTCCCCATGGGACATAGAATGAACAACCATTGGTCAAGCGTAGTATATATAATACCAAAACAAGAGAAAGTGTCACTTGCACAAAAAGCTCGGACGGAAAGCTTAGGTTCAGGGTTTTTCGAAGCACAAACCAACCGACTTTAAGAATTATCAACCTACTTGGAGAAGTATGGGGGATCAGGTTCCTGTAGCTCCGGCGGACGGCCAACTGCAAGCAGCCATTAACCCTCCACAACCGCCAGAGAACGCCGGGGGAGCACAAGGTCCAGCAGAAGTAAGCAAAATACGTTTGTCTTGTAAAATTTATATCGGGTAAAGCGAGCGAGCTTTCGACAGCACGTGGCTGTCGCCATGAGCTAAATGTCCTTAGAGTTAAATTGAATGTAATRCTGAGTATATTCTGAGTTTATGAGATGCATTTACGAAGTTGGGAAACGAGTATTGAGAATATTATGAGTCTATGAGATGCATTTACGAGCTTAGGGATGAGTATTGAGAATATTTTGAGTTTTTGAGATGCATTTATGAACTGGGAGATGAGTATTGAGAACAGTTGGAGTTTATGAGATGCGTTTGCGAGGTTAGAAATGTGTATTGAGGATATTGTGAGTTTACGAGATGCATTTACGAAGTTAAGTGGAGTATTGAGAATTATATTATGAGGTTATGAAATGGCATTTACGGAGTAAGAATTGAGTATTGAGAATATTGTGAGTGAAGGAGAKGTAGTTACGAAGTTTAGAAGTAAATGTTGAGAATATTATGAGTCTATGAGATGCATGTGCGAAGTTATAAATGAGTATTGAGAATATTAGGAGATGCATTTATATATGTGAAGTTAGTATTGAGTATTGAGAATAGTGGGACTTTGAGATGTAGTGCGAAGTTAAATTGAGTATTGAAATTATTGTGAGTTTAGGAATTATTGAAAAGGAGTATTGGGAATATTGAAGGCTTGGAAAGCTGACATTTGGTAACGCGATATTAGGTGTTGTAAGTTTATGCGACTCATGTTAGGTTTAACGGGAATGGTGAGGACACCACAAGTTTATGACRTGCGTTCACAAAGCTAGAAGGGAGTGAGAATGTTTTGAGTCTAGGATTGTGTACATGCACGGAGCTATAGAAARCGTATTGAGAATTATCACATAAAGAGAGTAGATCTGATAATTGCCTTAAATTGCAGGACAATCATCTACAGGGCATCCAACAGAGGATCGCGTCCCTGGAAGCACTCCAGAATGATAGCGTCGAGGGTGTGCTCAAGAAAATCATCAGAGATGTGAACTCCCATGAAACCTTTTCTAAGGATGTGGCACTGGATCACGTCTTAAATCTGAAGGTGATCGCCAAGGAAGCGAACCACGAGAGGGCCTCATATTACGCGGCAGTCTTCCAAGCCATGAAAGGGAAGATGGAAGCCCCTGTTGATCAGTTTAAGAGATATCTTCTGGTCCTGGTCGGCGATAAAGACCAGGAGAAAGTGTATGAAAAAATGTCCAAAGTGGACAAGTCGTTTGACAGAAATAAAGCATAAGTTCGGGGTCAGTTCAGGACACCCAGATGGAGCCGGGACAGGGTTAGATGCTATAGATGCCAGTCGTTTGGGCATATTGCAAGAGATTGTAGGGTGTGGCCCAGGAGTGATGGAGATAATCAGCTGGTCAAAAGGCGTCGTACGAATGAAGATGCTAAGAAATGACTAATTGATAAGAGATTACGAATATGAGACATGTAATATTAGGATAAATGGACGAGAGCAATGTAGTTGAAGGATTATGAAATATGCAATAAAATATAGTACACAAATAAAGGAAAAGGGAACAAATCTATACGCATAGATAGTCAAKGGAGCGATGGAGGGGATGCGGGGTTAAGCTATAGTTGTTTCCTCAAGTCTCCCAGCAATCAGTACTCCTATATTAGGGCGAGTGGCTCACACRGCTTAGTCAGTATTCTTGACTATCCTGTGGACGTTCCGGTTCCGGGCGTGGGCAGTTGCTCGTTCCTGATTGGGGGGGACCCCATCCACCGTGGGTTATCGTTTAATCGTCGGTGCATTGTCTAAAAAAATATATATAATATATTATTGCTATTATTATTATTATAAGCGACGAGAGGGAGTCCGAGGTTTGAGTGATCCGATGATTTGTTCTTATAGGGTCGTCAGGCTAAGAGAAGAAGAGTGGACTCTAGTAGATCATATAATTTTCCTTCATGGGAAAATGACTTAGGGTTTTTGGATGAGATGAGAAAGGGTGTGTCACTTCGAAAAGAGAGCTGTTGGGTKTCATTGGATGGGGTACCCTCCAATCAGGAMAACGCGAGCACTATGCCCACATTGGAACAAGTCTTGTCAAGTGAGATTCCTCCCCGGTTATCGAGTCTAATAGTCAGAGAGTCTAAGAGCTTTAAAGCGGGGGGTTTACATGAAAACCCGTTGGCATGGGAAAAGGTTGCGAAATATCACCATCACGGAGACAGAGTTCTYGGATGGATTAAGAATGGTATAGACGTGAATGAGTTTATCCAGCATTTCAAGGGTAGCTTTAAAGGCGTAAATTATGACGTGGATGAGCCACAGAAAAAAGTTTTTGCTAACCACGCGTCTTGCAAAAAGTTTGGTAGCTTTATAGGAAAGACTATTCTGAGTCGTATTGTTACAGGAGCAGTCAAGGTTTGGGGTGAAGTAAACAAAGTAGAGCCACCTTTTATAGTACTACCCCTGACGGTGGAACCGTCAAAGCCACGCCTTTGCATTGATGCAAGATACGTGAATCTCTGGATGAAGGACACTCCATTTAGTTTGGACAAACTAGTTGACGTCACTAGATATGTATATAA